CTGTAGTCGCCTGTAGCGGTTGCAGTGGCGTGAAATATTTTGAAATGCGCAAAACATATACTTCGTATTTTTTCGTCAACCGATATTAAAGTTAAATCATCCTTATTAATAATTAATTTGGTTTTAATAATTAAAATTTAGATATTTATTAATATTTACTACCATAATGTATGTGGATACATGTACATTTAATTTAGAGTTTCACTTCATGCATCACCATTAATGTGTTTTTTCACATCATGCACACAACATTAACACATCAACCAGTCCGTGATGTATTGCCAGAAGTGTCTGTAGCGGGCTGTAGCGGGCAGCATAGCAGGATTTTTCTGTGATTTGAAAATCACAAACTGATAGTGGCCCGTAGCGGCATCTACCGGCTACCGCGACCGCTATAAAGCGGCCGCTAAAGCGGTAGCGGCCTGCTATCTAAAACAATGATTAGATGTGTTGAATATCTAATTAAAAAGATCTCTAATCAAAATATAAGGATGTTCATAAATGGGACAAATTCTTGGTGAGAGTTGTGGACTTGTGGTACCTGCTGCTTACTAACTTGTACAGGCACCTCCGTAATAAGGTCGATTTCACGGTAACCAAGACTGAACAGAACCTGAGCATGAACGGCCGGAGATGAAGGAATGATTTGTACGGAGTAAAGGGTCAGTTTGGTCCTGAAAGTTACATAAAAGGTCTCAAATAAGTCCTTATAAAGAAGATTCTGTCCGGACGTGCCATTTGAGGCGGTTCCCAATGGAATTTTTTGATAAAAGTTTTTGAACATCTTATTCATTAAATCTAGTTCACCCATACCAAATGCACAGGTATCTTCAAGAATTCATTTGAATGCCTTCCGGATTGAATTTTTAGCTGAAATTTGGTATAAGTGAACTAGACTTAATGAATAAGATGCTCAAAAAAGTTTATCAAAAAATTCTACCAGGAACCGCCTCAAATGGCACGTCCGGACAGAATCTTCTATATAAGGACTTATTTGACCCCTTTTATGCAACTTCGAAGACCAAACTGACCCTTTACTCGATTTGTAAGTTATCACTAACAATGAACATTGTCCTCTCCCTCTTAAGAAACACGCCGTCTGAACATTCACAGATCTTCAACTTTACGGTTTTTCATGACTTATTATTGTCATGTCACCTCCACTTAAGATAATCTCAGATAATCTCCAAACCAATAAATCATTTCTCATTCATGATCTTAATTTACCTTGGATAGGAGCATGAGCATGCACGAACTACAAAGCTAGCTATCACCATAATTATGAATATATGCCTAGAAGTTGAAAATAATCTCAAAATAATTCAGTTTTAGAATTTGATACCAGATTATTTTATCAAATAATCTCATAAAATAATTTCAACTCCTCATCCATGAGTCCAAAAAAATCATCCACATCATCAATATGATCTCAAAAATAATTTATGGATGTGGATGCCCTCATGCCCCAAAAAATGATGTCTTTTGTAGCCGTGGTCCTGCTCATCCTGGCACAGTTGCAGAGAACATTCTCGTACTTAGTTTTACACTTTCCCCTGCTACACTCATACGAAACCTCAGACCCAGAATCATCCATATGTATCATCAATTCCATGCAGTACTCAGCGAGCGGATTTCTGGGGTTCAAAACCATGGTCTTGCAGTGTTTGGTCTGCCAGATTTCTGGGCTGAGGTTTTCAAAAGAATGGTACAGATTGTTCATGCAACCAATTTTCAGAGGTGGGTCTTTTTCCGTATCTGTTTTGCTGGTGAGCCTGATTATGGTTCCCATGGGGATGGTGAGGAAGCTGAGGAGTATATCCAGGAATTCCAAGTTTGCTTCGGCGGCTACCACTCGATTCACCTTCTCGTCTATCAGCAACTTCAAGCAAACAGCGGATTCTTGCTTCGTCATCTTCATATTATTACTAGGTACTATCTCTGTCCCGCTAGAAGGTTCAGATAGCAAAACGGCACGATTATTTAAGTGATAATTAAATAAAGTAATTCAGGTATATTTTGAGAAATAATTCTGATAGGTATATATTATAATGTGTTACTATTGATAACTTTGATGTTATAAATGTATTATTTTTAATATTTAATACCTAATTTGTCACTTAAGACTATTAATTGTTTTCTAAAATGGAAATAAGAATCTTCTAATGGAATGTCCAAAAAAAAGGAAGTGAGAACCTTCTAATGAGTCAGCGGGAGTATTTGGTTTGATTATGGTGATTCAGGGGTTTAAGTCAGTAGGGTCAGCTTAGCTGACTATATATTCGGAAGATTTTGTTTTAAGCGAATACTCGTATAGTACTCGTATATCAAGAATATACGATTTTGTTTTAAGCGAATACTCGTATAGTACTCGTATATGTGCCCACAAACAAATATAAAATGTAGGACTCGTCGTCAATTCTCAACTAACACCAATTATCTTTTACAGTATAATACTTCGTATTTGACATGGTTGGGGTTATAGCTTCAGACATAGTACAAATATAATATTGTATTAAGAAAATATCAAAACAAAGTTGGGTACTACCAAATAAATAAAACCCAGTTAAACATAAAAATAAATGTTATTTTCTATGAATAACATAAAGATGATGGACATAGAAGTACATTTTTATACAAAATGACTATTAATAATTCTTAATGACTATTAATATGTTCAATTTTACTGTATAGTGATTATGTTATGCATATATTAACTTAGTCACATTTTTATGCATTAGTTGTTTGAATAATATTTTAAGAGCAACTTCTAAAAAAGTAAATCACTATGAAAGTTAAAATTGATTGGTGCAATTTTGGAGCTATATGTGCAATGAAATTAAATATATACACTCACTTTATTATGTGAGTGTAAACATTCAATTTTCATTGCACACATAGCTCAAATATCGAGCCAATCAGTCATAGTCACTACTACAAAATCATGCTTTCCCTACAAATTTTCGGCATACAAAACTCAATTTGTAGTCTAACATCTCCTATCGTGACAAAATAATTTATTCGTGGGGAGAGTATTTTGACTACAAATGTTTGTTTTCCATACAAATTCATTGTGTCGGCAAAAGCTCTTTTTATAGACAAAAGACTATTTTGTGGGGCTAGCTCTTTTCCTACAAACATGTTTTGCATACAAAATTAAATTTGTAGTCTAATATATTTTTTCACCACAAAATGAATCATCCGTGGAGAAAGTATTTTCACTACAAGTAATTTTTCTCCATACAAAATACTTATGTCAAGAAAAGGTACTTTGGTAAACAAAAAAAATTTCTTTGTGGGGCTAATTTTTGCCCCACCCAATTGCTTTCCATACAAAATTAAGGTGTAAAATAGGTTAGTTTTTCCAACTGATAGTACAGTTTGTCTTGGATTGAATATATCTTCAAAGTTCTCTACGAATATGATGGCAGTTTGCTAAAACAGGGTACAAATAATAAATAACACACGTACTATATATAAGCAGATCGAGAGATTGAGTTTTTTATTGTATTACATTGCTTTTTGTATTTTTATAAAATGTATATACATATATATACATATATTATCGAATTAATAAAGTTATACTTATTTTGTAAATGAAAAGTGAAGAATTGAGCGAAATAAGAGAAATTTTAAAATTATAAAAAGTTTATAAGTATGTAGTCAAAGAGAACTGATCTAAAAACATTTTGTGTCTTTGAATATAGACTGATTTTGAGTGCCTTTTCTAATAAAGAAAATTTTTCTCCTCACGAGTGATCTATTTAAACCTCATCGATCCTATATGTTTAAGTTTAACGTGATTTAGTGAATGTCTGGTGTATGTATAATATACAACTTTTCAAGTTTGGGTTGATTTGCTCGATCTCATCTATATATATGGTTAGGATCTGGTTTGGTATGTTAAAATTTAAATTGATCTGGGACTAAAACATGTCCAATTAGAAGCATACTTCATAAAATCTAATTGTGTTTTCATAACTCACCTAATGTGTTTTCATACTGAGCCGGTCCTAGCTAGCTTGGGAAACCCTAGGAGCGAGCTCTTGGATGATCTAATCTTTTGGCTTAGCTTCTTCTTTCAGATTGGTAAGAGTTTTGATGATTGTGATGTTCTCTAGATAGTAACGATTCAAATGTTTTACTATGTTAACTCTCTTTTTAATTTCTATCTTGTAGGGTTTTTATTTTGGTCTAACATTTTCTTTGAATGAGAGTTATGTCCGCTTCAGGCAAGTGTGCATTTTATTATTCTCCTATCAATGTCTAGAGGGTGGGTCTTCATGGTTGGCAAAACATGTTCAACCCAGTTCTTCTGGAGCTTCAATCACTACTAGAAAAAGGATATTTAACGACCATGCTATAACGACGGCTCTGACAAACGGCCATTAAAAACATCTTTTAACATCAACTATCGGCTTCGTCGTTATTAAATTTATCTATAGCGACCATATTTGAAAAGTCATCGTTATTATTCAATCTGTAAACATTGTTACTACTTACCACTAATTACTATTTAAGGAAAAAGTTAATCCGAATAATAAGTAACTTAGAGCCTGTTTAGTAACACGAAAATCGGCTGATTTGGCTGATTCTGCTGAAATTTATGAAGTTCTGGCTGAAGTGACTGCATCGGCTGATTCTGCTGATTAAAAAAAAAATAGTTTTAAAATATATTCTATTAATAAAATAAAGAAAAAATTATATATGAAAATAGCTAAAATGGTCATTTTACAGTGACTTCAGCCAATACAGCCAGAAAAGTAACTTCAACCTTACTTTTTCTTATTATTACACAATCCAGCACGTGAAAATAAAGGTTACATGTTTGTTGAAAAAGTTAGCTGATAAGGCCGATAAGCTGAAAAACAGTATTAGCAAACGGTCTCCTAGTTAAAAAAATTAGTATACCGCCAAAATTTCAATAGGAAATTCGGGATTTTATTGTACAAAGTATTTGCTCTGGCGCGCTTAGTTATACCGCCGAAATAAACCTGTCCTAATCATGAATTGCCCTAATCTCCATCTTCAAAACTCAATCTTATCTGTCTTCTAGTTATTCTCGATCGTAAGTGGCGGCAGATCCTCAATCGTTCCTGGCAGCAAAGTCAAGGATCCTCAATCGTTCCTGGCAGATCCTCAGATCCTCAATCGTTCCTGCTAATCTGTTGCTGGACGCCACAAGGATTCTGAGAGAATTCAGTCCTTCACTACCGGCCTCTCTCGATCGATTAGCAAAATTTCCTCTCGCTCCATCCATCTACCAGAGGGTTTTAGGATTTTTGTTTGGTTGCGCAAGCTTCTTGCTCCAGGTAACTTTAATTTTCAATATCTATTATTTTATTCTTCTTGTGGTAATCGGTTTTCAACAATCTACAGGGTTTTCGTTTGATTGCTCAATCTTCTTCCTCCGTGTAACCTAAATCTTCAATATATTTTATTTTAATATTTATCAATTTTATCAGCATATTTAATCTTAATATTCTGTGTTTGAATTACTGCACATAAGTAAATGGGAGACTGATTCTACACCTTGGGAGGAAATCTTGCAGTACTTTTAAAATAAGGTTTTTGTTTAAATATAAGATTTATAGATTAACTTAGGTTGATGAAATAAGGGGTTATTGTTTATTATTTAAGATTTTTACATGTATTGTTCTTGCAAATGAAATAGGAATCGCTACCAGCTTTCTCACTTCTCTATACTATACCAAACAGATAAAATTTAAAACTATTCGATGAAAGTATCAAGCTCTACTCTGAAAGGGGTGAACTTCCTCTTGACTCTAATCACTATTATATATCATCATTTATGTGTTATTTATGATGCATTTGAGAAATATAGACCATATCAACAACTTACAACCAGATTTGTAATAGGGATTAGACGATTAGTTTAGTTGAGATGTCAATAATGCTTAGTGTCCTATAATAATTATTGCTCCCTTAAAAGCTAAATCTGTACTAAGAATATCCATTTTTTTTTGTTTGTTTCCATTTTGCTTGGGAAAGTACATTTTTCTTGTTTTGCCTTATTGTTTCGGAGGCATTTTCTTGTACCGATTCAGAAAGTTTGGCAACTGGTTTGGGAATTAGAAATAGTCCACATAGAAACTAGATTAAGGTAACATGCATCTCTCTTTCTTAGCCTTGATTGAGATACAGATGGCTTGTATAGTTGCATACTAGGTCAAAATATTTTTGGTCAATTAAAATCTAAATGGATGCCAAATTGTGCTTACCTCACACTTCTTCAAAATTTGGGCTATTTAAATTATTTTCTCTTATAACTTACGAATAATGTCCGTAAAACAATATTCCTGTTTGGATGGTATGCCCTTTAGAGGGTATGGTTTACCACCACCCCTCCTTTGACATCCTTTATTTGGCTAATAAATGTCGTTATTGAAAAATATAATTTTGAAATGGTCTTAGAGAGGCAAGGGATGACCTATGTTGATGCTAGAACTGGTTTTCCATCTTGGAACAATATGATATATTCTTTTTTTAATGTGTTTCATTAATCTGGATTGATAGAGGTTTAATCCTTGTTAACTGTTCTTCCTTCTTAAGTCTGGATTGGAAATAGAGACCAAGGTTTTTTTCAATCTGTGTTATATGAAAAGCTCCCGGTTTACTATTCTGTTTGCTCAAGATTTGGCCACAAGAAATCAATGTGCTCTCAGAATGAGACAAATAAGACTAGTGAACCAATGATGCCTATAGCCGCTGAGGTTCTTACTGACCCAATGAGGCCAACTGATGCTTCTGATGATTTGGTTGCCCCGATAGATGTCCCTGTTGTTTTTTATGCTTCTATTCATTACCAGGTTAATGTCCCTGCTGTTAATTTCCCTATTGATGCCCCATTGGATGCATCCTCTGTTTTAGAATTTAAGGTTTGTGCTTTGGATAACCACATCCCGGTTACTAGCCAAACATTTGCTACTTTCAATGCTTGTGATGCTCCGGTTATGGCCCCTACTGCTTTTTATGCCCCTAATACGACCTCAAATGATAGCCAGGTTAATGAATTTGCTGTTTTTGATGCCCCAGTTTGTGTTGTCGATAACCATATCCCGGTTATCAGCCATACTATTGCTACCATTGATGATAATGCTCTTGCTGAAAGACACCCCATTGCTACCTCTTTTTCTGTCACTGCTGCAGCAGTTTTTGCCCCCAGTGATGCTGCGGTTATGGCCCCTATTGTTTTTTATGCCCTTAGTGTGCCCCCAAATGACCATACTCTTGCTACCACTGATGATAATGCTCTTGCTGATACACACCCGATTGCTGCCCCTTATTCTGTCACACGAAGTCAATCCCGCTACCCACAAGATGACTCAAATTACTTCCTTTACCCGATCGATGAGAGGCTTGACTCCCCACAAAAACTAGCTGCAGCTCTCAAGCGCTATAAATTATCTAAGCCGAGGGCAAAGATTTTCCAGTCCTATCTTCGGAAAGCCATCAAGTTCCATAACAAATATAACAGATCTATGTCTGCTTCACTTGGAATTCCTTCGAAAAATTTTAATTGCTGATGTAATTTAATTTTCCTGTTTATTTTAAAAAAATGTGTTTCATTACAAATTTTAATGTTTTCAATTTTACTCATTCGAATTGGTAGGATACAAAAGTGTTGAAAACATGACATTTTGAATTAAATGGGGAGAGTATTAAATATTTATATTGAGTCTATTTATCGTGACGGGCATGCATTCACCAAATATATATTAGATATTTGTGGTTACTATAGTCTGTTATCCACCATTAGCTATGCTACTTAATTAATTTGTTGTCAAAGTAATTCACTACTTCCCATTATCTTTTTTAAGTATTTATCATTATTATTTGTTTAGTTGTTCTTGATATAATAATCGTACTTAATCAATATTTTAATATGTCACAGGGAGGAAGAATAATACCTTCACATTAGAAGAGCTTCCTTCAATCCAAAACCTCACGGTAATTATATATGGACTATGGTCAAATATCTTGCTGCTTATTAATAGTTTTAAATTTTTTATTTCAACTCTAGCATTTTACGATTGTCAAAGCTTTTTTTATCATCATTGTGTAACTTATGTGCTATAGTGGTGTAGTATCACTTCAAAGGATACAAACACATTGCTATGCTATGGATAGAAGCTGGATACATAATCCAGACAAAAATAGTGCTGAATATAAATTAGGTGTTGCTGAATTTATTGAAGTTGCAAAGAAACATGTTAATCATCGAGGCCTTGCACGATGCCCATGCAGTAAGTGTAATAACTGTGTTTGGATGACATTAAGGCAAATTGGTCTGCACTTGATCACAAATGGAATGTCATATAATTACACAGTGTGGACTCATCATGGCGAACGAATGAAAAAGAAACATAGTTCTTCGAAGGATAAAATGTTTGAAAGCTCAGGTGCAAATGATGATACTACTTGTGATAATGATGAGGTCATGGATATCATAAATGATTTATATCCGTTTGCTGCACACCACCATTATGAGAGAAATGATGATATACAAGACCAGACTTTCCACGATGAAGTTGTTGCAGAAGATCAATATATTCCAGACATGCTTAATCAAGAGATTGATAAGTATGAAAGACTATTGAGAGAAGCACAAGAAGAACTTTATCCGGGATGTACAGGATTTTCTGTCCTAACATCTATTGTGGAGTTGATGCAATTAAAAGTGAAAAACCTCATGACCAACAAATGTTTTGATGAACTTATGGATATCTTGAAGAGGATGCTTCCTGTAGGGAACAAGTTGCCTGCTAGTCATCGTCATGCTCAAAAAATTATGAAAGATCTCGGACTTGGGTATGTAAAGATTCATGCTTGTAAATACGATTGTGCTTTGTTTTACAAAGAAAATGAAGATTTAGATGAGTGTCCGGTGTGTAAAGAGCCAAGGTTTGAGTTGAACACCAATGAGAAAAAAATTCCAAAAAAAGTTCTACGTTATTTCCCATTGAAACCGCGTTTACAACGTTTATACATGTCAATGCATACGGCGGATAACATGAAGTGGCATGCTGAAGGAAGAGTTGATGATGGTGTTATGAGGCACCCAGCAGATACAGTAGCATGGAAAGAGTTTGACAAAAACTATGAAGAGTTTGCGAAAGAACCCCGAAATGTTAGATTGGGACTTGCGAGTGACGGTTTTAACCCATTTGGAGATATAAGAACACCGTATAGCATGTGGCCTGTGATGGTTGTTCCTTATAATTTGCCTCCTTGGATGTGCATGAAGAAAGAGTATACAATGCTAACCTTATTGATTCCCGGTAAGCAAGAACCTGGAAAAGAAATTGATGTTTATTTGCGACCATTAATAGACGAGTTAAAAGAAATATGGGAAATAGGTTTGCCAACATATGATAAGGTGACAGGTTCTGTTTTTAACCTACATGCTGCAGTACTCTGGACGATTAGTGACTTTCCTGGTTACATGAATTTATCTGGGTGGAGTACCAAGGGATACAATGCATGTCCTAATTGTAATGATGATGGGACTTCTGCCTGGTTTAGTGACAAGGTCTGCTATATGGGTCATCGACGTTGGCTACCACATAATCACGTGTGGCGTAGAAATAAGAAGTCCTTTGATGGAAAAACTGAATTTCGTGCAAAACCTAGGAAACTATCAGGTGAGGAAATTTTATCCCAAGTACATAATATACAGTTCAAGAGATTTGGTAAACACCCTTCTAACCCTGATAAAAAGAGGAAAAGGACTGTTGAACAGAGAAATTGGACTAAAAAAAGTATATTCTTTGAATTAGAGTATTGGTCAAAGTTAAGAATCAGGCACAATTTAGATGTAATGCACATAGAGAAAAATGTTTGCGAGATCATTCTTGGAACAATATTAGGCATAGAAGGAAAATCTAAAGACACATTCAAAGCTCGTCAAGATCTTGAAGCTCTTGGGATAAAAGAATCGTTATGGTTAGAATGGGATGGTAATTACTGGGTTAAAAAGCATCCGTTCTTTACGATGGAGCCAAAACCGAAGATGGAGTTTCTGGAGTTTTTGAAATCTGTCAAGTACCCTGATGGTTATGCTGCAAATATCTCAAAAAATGTGGTCTTAGACACTGGAAAAATAAATGGGCTAAAGAGCCATGATAATCATGTGTTACTTCAAAGGTTGCTTCCTGTTGGTGTTCGGAAATATCTACCCAAGGAAGTGGCTGACCCGATTGTTCGTCTCTCCAGTTTCTTCCAACAACTATGTTCAAAGACACTATGCATGGAGGATATCCATAAGTTACAAGATGAGATTGTATACATATTGTGCAAATTTGAACAAATATTTCCTCCAGCCTTCTTTGTTTCCATGATTCATTTAATGGTGCACTTACCAGAAGAGGCCGAAGAAGCGGGTACTGTTACAGAACGATGGATGTATGCAATAGAAAGGTTTGTACTTTTTTATTTTTAAATAAAGGTTTTCATTCATTTCATTATTATTTAATTAATACTTGCGTTTTTTAACAGTTCATTGTATTGAATGTAGGATGTTGGGAAGGTACAAAAAATTTGTGCGTAACAAAGCTCGACCAGAAGGTTCGATTGCAGAGGCTTACGTTTCACAAGAATCTCTTAATTTTTGTGCAATGTATCTCCATAAAGTGGAGACACCATTTAACAAGAGTGAACGCAACTTTGATGGTGGTCCTAGGCAAGAAAAACTTTCTGTTTTCGCACAAGTGTCTCGACCGATTATGAGTTCTTCAAGTATTCCGTTTTTGAAAATTGATATGGAGGTTGCTCATTGGTTCATATTGAACAATTGTGATGAGGTTTCTCCTTTCTTAGAGTAAGTGAAAGTTAAATACCATTACTTTTAACATATTAACATTTATATTTTTATACAATAATTTTATTTTATACAGGGAACACAAGGAGTTGATAAAACTTGAACGTGGTGTGGACATAGATAAGAGGCACAGGAAATTGTTTCCAGCTTGGTTTTGTGAACGGGTTAGCTATTGAGTTTGAAAGTTGTAATTCAATGGCAAGCTTAATTATAAGTTATCCTTTCATATTGAGTGTTTATAATTTAATATCTATTTAGGTGCGAAGATTAGGGGTTGCAAACTCACCCTTGTACAATGATGAGCTCTTTGAGTTAGCAAGAGGGCCTCTTCGAGCAGAAACATACCAAGGATGCATTGTAAATGGAGTAAAATTTGTAGTTGCAGAACGAGATGATAAGTTAACTACTCAAAATAGTGGTGTCCACGTACCTGGAGACCAAGAAACGGGTGATGTTGATTATTATGGGAAGTTGACAAGCGTGATTGAATTGATATATAGGCAACGATATAGAGTTATATTGTTCAAGTGTCATTGGTATAACACAGATCCTACTAAGGCAGGAACAATAAGACGTGACTACCACCTAATATCAGTTGATACTAAAACTAGGTGGTATGACAGTGATCCTTATATTCTTTCAACAATGGCAAAACAGGTCTTTTATGTAAATGATCCCAAAGCGGGGGTAGTTGGAAAGTAGTGATGAAGATGAGTCATAGAAACATTTATGACATACCAGACCGTGAAACCACTCCTGAATCTGATGACGACACCGATGCATATCAAGAAAGTTCTTCTGGCATGCCACTTATGTCTTGCTCCCGAAATTATGACTCTATCGAGAGTACTCTATGCGTAGATGATGTTCCTCCTATTTTGATTGATCCAAACACCATTATTCAGCATTCAAAGAGCACTAATGAGGGCAGTGATAGAGATGATGAGTCTTAAGTTGCAGAACTTTGATGTTTTTTGATTTATTTATTATCTTTTATTTCTTATGTTGTGATGTGTTTGGACATGCAATTCCAGTATAGATTTATATATGATCATTTTTATAACTTAATTGCTAGGATATTGTTGTTTTATAACTTAGTTGCTAGGATATTGTTGTTTCTGTTTTTGATAGATGAGCGGGATTTCACAGAAGAAACGCAGCAGCATTTCAAGGATCATACATACGGCCAAACAACCTAAGATGACTGCAACGTCTATTCCTAAACTACCTCAGATGTCAAATGTTGATAAGGGATCAAGCCTTGTGTTTGACCCTCTGTCATTAAGATATTCTGTGAACAATCGCAGGTGCCAAGCTCCATCCCCTCATTCAGATCAACCTCCTAAAGAATTTCATCATGTTCCAGCAGTTAAGGTACATCAAACAAAAATTGCACCTACTCCAAGTGTCACAGGAATGTCTAAGCCAGATAAGATAACACTCTGGAACACTAAAGTTGGTTCTAAGTCAACTGAAGGCTCATTTCAGTCCTCTTCAGAGAAAGAGAGAGCTCAACCAACCATTAATGCTCGTAGGAGTGTATTTGCAGGGGGTGTTTCTTCTAGTCATAAGCGCCAAAATCCACCTTCTGATCTCGTGGATGATGTTCAAGTTCATCATAATCGTGAAAAGGAAAGAAAAGGTATGAAATACACTATGTTACATATACTCAGAGGACTTGATATTGTGGTTAGCCTTTTGAGTTAATTGCATACTAAGTTAACCTATTATGAAAGTGCAGCCATTTTGTTAAATGTGTATGGTGTTATTGGATAATGCAAAATTATTATAGAAATATGTATCATGTGTAATTAAGGCTAAGCTAGTAATATTGATAACCTCTAACTCTATTTAGTTTATTACTGTGATAAAAAGGATGCAATCATAAATCCTAATTTCATACTTTGTAATCCACAGTCCTATCTTAAAAAGGCAAATGACAGTTGGCACTTAACAATATAAGTTTACTCATCACAAATTAGTGTTTCTAATGATGCTACTTTAACATGTGAATCAGAGAGTCAGGAGGAGTACACGACTGATAAAAGCACTCAGAGATCATTTAGCGATGAACATGAAATTGAGAATGGTATAACACATTATGCTTATTTTGGACCTGTCATATGTACATGTGTGCTGGTGTTATTTATCATGATTAATACATCTCTATTAATCATCATTTTTTATATACGTAGATGCGAGAGAGTTTTCACAAACTGAAGATGACAGTCGTGGTCGGGGGCCTTGCAAACAAATTAAAACATCTCGTATGGTTCGTCTTAGTAAACACAGAATTGAAGTTTCATACAACAAAGTTACTGAGAGAGCAACAAGTGCTGAGATACATAGTCTCCTGGTTCATGATGTTGGAGCTATCGTTCGGTCACATTGTCCAATGGATACAGGTTTTTGGGGGAAAATACCTCTCAAAGATAGAGAAGACCTTATGGGTGAGATCACGGTAAGATAACTACATATGACAAAATATATGTACTCTATATATGTTGTTTTACTTTGGCACTTCAAAATTTCATGCTTGCATTTGGGAGGGTAAGTATTATATTATTGATGTTATTTTTATTTAGCAATACTGTGTATTAATTTCGGACGAATTTTAAGATCAATTTTGAAGATCCAGATATAAAAGATTATATAAATAGCCTATACAATGGAAGGTATAGAGAATTCAAGGCTGAATTGAGTAAATATTACAAGTTATGTGAGACGCATGAGATAGCGCTTACTTCGCCTCCTCCAGAGATGGTTGATAGAGATCCGACTGAATGGGAATGGTTGTGTAACCATTTCAACTCAGATAAGTTCAAAGTAATTATGATCACTCTCTTTATTTTTATTTATTTTATTTTATTTTATTTTATCTTAATTATATTAAATCTCTTCTCTTTCTTTTAGAATGCATCATCTGCAAACACCTCTAACCGTTCAAATAAGAAGAACAACCACCGTACGGGTTCACGTCCTTTCTCATACATAGTAGAGGATATGATTGCGGTATGTTATTAAAAGTCTCTATTATGTTAACAGAAATGCTTTTTTTCAATTTATTTTATGTTCTTTTGAATACTGATTTTTTGCATCATTAGAAAACTTAAATTTTGATTAAAGAGTACATTTGGAGTTTTGTCTTACAAATTGAATGCAAGGACCCTGACTTTTAATTACAAAATGGAGTGAAATCTAGAGCCAAATCTGGAGTTCATAGGTAGTATGAAGGGAAACTGTAACATGAGAAAATCTTAAATATGAACTCCATTGAAAGTTACAAATGGAGTGAAATAAGGAGCCAAATAGGCTTTTTGTGTTTGGTTCTATACGAAGCAGAATCATATTTTTACTAGTTATTTTTTATTTTTAATCTTCATCTAAAATTGTTAGTAGTATCAGTGTCGTTAATCAAGTGTAGTTTGGAACCTGAAATATTTTATATGATTCTGTGTATTTTCTCTTAAAATGTTAATAAGACTATTGGATTAGTAGTGCTTTCAGTTCTGCTTTTCCACTAATAATTTTTAAATCATCCACGTATTCCCATTGATTTAATACTCTATGTTACTGACATTTAAGCCAATATGTGGACTTCCAAAATTGAACTAAGCAATCAAATATACCAATGACAGGAAGGCTCAAAATTTCCAGAAGTTGCCGCATTTGAGATAACTTACGCTGGGAAAGACAAATGTTGGACAAATGAGGCAACAAAAGAACAACATGTAATCAACTATCTTCGAAGTACAATTATGATGTTTTCATTTTACATAATGTTGTTACTAAACACATTAATAACTATATTTGCGTTGTGTAATTTTTTTTAATTTGTAGGAGAAAATGGTTGCAAAAGCTAATGAGTATCTTGCAGAAAAGGCCAAAGAATATCAGCTTCCTGAAGATACTCCTTTGGAGGAAATGCCTATTGATGATCCTGATATTGGACTTGAAATTATGACATCTGTTTTAGGTACTACACCAGGCCATCTTCGAGATACAAGGGCAACATCCAAAAAGGTGAAGAATTTAGAAAAAGAGTTGGAGGGGAACGAGCGGCGCGAAAGGCTGCTGAAGCCGCTCGAATAGCGGCCGAACAGAGAATGCAAAACACGTTGAAAAATGTTGGGCAAAAGTTCAACTCTACTTTACAGTCTTGGCATCAATCTTTAATGCAGGTAGGTGTTCTTATACCCCATCTTTAATGCAGGTAGATTTTTCATTTGGACTCGTGTTCTTATACAATATAAATCTATATACAGAGTATTTATAAATGACACAAAAAGTGTTGGTAGCCCCAAAACAAAACAAAACAAATCCAAATTGCTAAAAACTGGATGAACTAAAATAGAGTTTTAAAAAGTTGTATACATGTATGTGTTTTGAACTTAACATTTACTTAATCGCTTACTAATCTAAGAATGGTAAATTGTAACATTGTAGTGCTTCCCCTTTAATTACACAGTTTAGTATCTAACAAAAATGGCATTTGTGACAAAACATATACAACTCTTTATTTATATTGATAAACTATTAAGATCTAGTACTTATTGTGTTAATGATTATTCTGTTAAGAATGTGTTGGCGATCCTCAAAATCCATATCATTACTGAAGTTGGTAAATGGATTTATGATCCTTTGCAGACATTGAAGTAAATGTTGTAAAGTAGAACTGATTGCATCAGAATTCCACTGTACCAATGCTTTTCTTATAAGCTTTGTTGGGTAAACCAGATTCAAGACTTTTGCAGTCTATTACTTAGCTTAGCACTACAGTTTACAAAAAAATGTCAAAATTGTCTGGTTGTTTTCTATTCGTTATCTGGTCTTCTCATTAACTAAATAAAGCTTTGTGGGCATGCCTTTCAGATTTTCAATTTTCATACTTGCTCCACAAAACATAATTATTGAAAAGCGTGATTTTGTAGTAGTGTTAAATTTTGGTATCAATTTTTAATGCAGGTAGGTGTTGCTATACCACCATTCACTCCCTTTTCACTCGAAGATGATGTAGAAGATGAGGCTGACGCTTTCTTGGATGACTAATTAGAACATCATATGATATTATTAGGTTATTTTGAAAGGACATCTAGATGAACTAAATACATTTGTTATGTTTTTTTATTTGACGTTTCACTTTTGGTTAAGTTTATTTTTTTATTTGAAGAGTATAACACTCAACAATAATGTTTTAGTTTGTCATGGAGTTAATTAGTAAACTTTACAATGCACAATGTTTGCTTTAAATTTATGTGGCATGGTGATTTTTAGTATTGGTCTATCTTTATGAATTATTTTGTGCACAATTTAAATAAATTAGAAATTAAATATATTCTTCCTACAAAATACATCCCCATGAATAGCAGGTCCTATGAATGATTTTTTTGTAGTGAAAAATCTCTTTAGCCTACAAAATCCCCCCTAGAAAATCATTCATGACAAAAATAACTTGCCTACAAATAGCTCTCATGATAAAAATATAGTTGTGATAAAATCTATCATTTATCTACCAACGATTCACAATACAAGAATTTATTTGTAGGGAAAAGGATATTCTTCCCATGAATAACTCTTTCTACAAAATTTTATTCGTAGATAAAGATATGTTTTATCTACAAATATTTGCCCATACAATAAATAAGTGTTGGGAAAAATATCTTGAGCATACAAATATTGTTGTGGTAAAAGCACTTGCAAGACAAATTTATTTGTCTAGAAAAGTTTTGTATGCCAAAATTTTAGTAGACAAAGTTAAAAATTTTGTCGTCTTATACCTTTCCCTTCGATGATTTCCCTACAAAGACGGCCACAATTTTTTTTTGTGTGGAAAGTGTTCTATCTACAAAATTTGATATTTCCCTACAAAGATTCTTTGTATGAAAAACCCAAAAATGTAGTAGTGAGTTCCAAGTTTAATTAAGAAGGTGAGCACTTAACAATGTAGCATCCTTGAGGTGATGTTATGAAATCTCACCACACATATTGTGCTTCCGGTGTGAGAATTATTTGAATTGACAATATACTCCATCATAGAATTATTAATGATTAGGTTTGACCATGTTTTAAGATGTGTGGAAGTTGGCATATAGCTCATAATTTCCAATGTGTGGTATATGGGAGAACAATAGAAATTTGCCAAAGCTGATGAGAGGGAAGCTTGCAGCCTGGCACAAATCATGGGATGCGTGAGGTGGTCTCGTAATTGTTGAAGATATAATTAGGGTTGGCTTTTGCAATGAAATGTAAAATGTGAGAAATGATTTTCCCCGTTTCACATTCATTTTAATAGAATAATGCATATAATTTGAATGGAATCACTTTCTTTTACCAGAAGAGAAAATATCTATAAGAAAGTTGGAATCTTATTGTATCACCGAGTCGAGTTAAACTTAGGATATTAACTGTCTCTGAAAAGCTCATTTGACATTTTAAATAGATAAAACTTCACAAAAGTGTCACATTGTTATGCACGCTTAAATTTAGAGATATGTGATTTATTTTCTATCAAAATGGAGTATGTGGTATTACATTGTTAACAGAGGAGGACTCTGTGCACTAATGATTTTTTTGTGATTTACTTGTGATTTTTTTGTTGAAATTCTCTTTTATTGCATTTTGGATTCTATACTTATAAGAATCCTAGATAGGGTAGACGTCCGCTTTCTTTCAAGGAGAAAAGGGACAACTCTGTACATAACTTATTTCAATGTCGGATCCAAAAAATGAATGGCGGACATGTGTTTGTGTGTGTGCGCGCGTGTGCGTGCGTGCGCGCGCGGGGTGCGTGCGTGCGCGCGCGGGTGCGTGCGTGCGTGTGTGGGTGTGGGGGTGTGTGTGTGTGGAGCAGTTCTGGTAAGAACGGATCTAGAAGAGAAACAAGAACGAATCTGGACCGCTAGGTTGAATTATGTGGAACTGAATTGTGCATTAGGTGAAACCAAAATGTGCCTTAGATGATATTGAAATGTGCAGAATAAAAATTTCAATTCACATGTGCAATAGGTGATACTGAAATGTGCAGAATAAAAGGTATAAAAATGACATCACATCCTAGCTTTTATTCTGCACATTTTAGTTTCATCTAGTGCACATTTCAAATTCACATAATGCACAATTTAACTTCACATAATGGCACTACATCGTACCCTTTGTGCTGCACATTTCAATTTTACCTAATACACATTACAACTTCATCTAATGTACATTGAATTTCACATAAAGCAAATCTAACGGTCCAGATTCATTCTCATTTCTCTCATAAGATCATGTTCTTATTTGAACCAAAACCTGTGTATATAGAGTTTGGTTCAAATGAGAACAAGCCTTAATGCATGTGAGATGTGAGAACAAATCTCAGCCCTCCAAAATTACTAACGATTTGCGATCAATTAAGTTCTAGTAGAGGATATTTTCGTCCTCTTCTATGTTGGCAGTTACATTGACCACCTTTTTATTTGAAGTTACAGATCAAATAAGCATAGTTCTTTTAGGAATCATCTTAATTGTTTAATTCTTGTTTTAATGTGATTTAACTTGTCCGTTTATTGAACCCAATTTTTTTTATTACTTTTTATAAAATATTTTATTTGTGTTGGCTCTTGTGTATGACGTACTTTTTATTTTATTTTTTGGCTATATATGTATTATGCATTAGATATTGATTCTTGTGCATTATGTACTACTTTAAATTATATTTTAGGAAGTCAATTTGTACTGCATATTAATTAGTTCTTAATTGTTATGGTTAATAAGATATAGGTTTTTATGCACAAAATATTTGTTATAGCTTTAATACGTATTGTGCATGAAATATTATGTCACCTGTATTACATTCAAGTGCACTTCATGTACATCAATTTATGGTTATTAACTCATGCGAAAAATTAAGATTTATTTTTTGGTGCGGTACATAGACATTCTTGTGCAAGCGTATTATTTGAAACTTTTGTTAAATGACGGTTCTTGTGTATTATGTACTAATTTAGTTTTTGACTATATACGTATTATGCATTAGATATTGATTCTTGTGTATTATGTATTAATTAAAATTAAATTTTATGAAGTCATTTTGCATTGGATACTAATTAGTTCTTAATTGTTATGGCCAAATATTGTTTTTTTGTGCATAAATTATTTGTTATAATCGTTAATACATATTATGCATTAGATACTGGTCCTTGTGCATTGTACATCGGATTTCATAAGTTTTTTTACCACAATCGTATATGCTACGCATGAAGTGCGATTTTGGTGAGTTTTGTTAATTGTCCCTAAACAACATCCGTATTTTGACGAAGTGGGTATCAATAATTAATGCTCATTTTTACAATTACAACCATGCCCTTTAGTTACCACTGTATGCTAGAATTAAATAGAGACGAAAATCATCCCCTACACTTATACTCACAAAAATCAGGTGTACTAGATCTAATCCATCCGTTTATTTATTAAGGTGAGTGATCATGATTTGTTCTCATTTCTCACAATCTCATTTCTCACGATCTCATTATATATATATGTATTTATATATATACATATATTTGCAGAGTGTGCCATGCTGCTAGTCTGCTTGATCGTGATGATCTGCTGCAGATTCACGTTCACGTATAACCAAGTATGGGTCCCTCCTTATGACCAGAGTGAGCAATTTGCAGGTGGTGTGTATGTTTTACCAGAGCCATGACAGTGATACTCTTGCATTATGGTCTGAAAGGTAGTAAGGGATAAATGATATTGGAAGTTTGGAACCAAATATGCATGTCTACTGTAAAATTCGTCCATCATGTCCGATGTCAGGAAGACTTCCCAATCATGCTGACCGTAATATCAAGCTTTGATCTAAAACCAGTGAATTTCTTCAAGAACAATCCAGTTCTCGACTTCCCTCCAAATCCGGAGGACTTGCCGGTATGCAAGGCTGCTGCTTGTCAGACTTGTTCCCTTAACAAGCTTATGTGGCGCTGCTTGGTGACGAAAAAGTCATGACATGCTGCTGCTTGATGAAGATCTATTGGCCTCAGGTAGTAGCATAATTGGCTTCAAATTGACCTCTCATCTGCTGCGCATGTATACATGTGCTCTAGGTTCTTTTCACTAATTATAAATAAAGCTTGAGAATATATTGAAATCCCTGTTTCATACGTACCCTATAAATAGTTAATACTGTGGGTTGAGCTGAGCAGATTAAGTGAATTGTTAAATGCAAACATATCTAGTAACTGGTAATATGTACTCCGTATGTCACAATATAAACTTTTCCATAGAAAAACAGAGTTCATAACTAGGATACTGTTTCACATAAAGACCAAGCAAAGTGACAAGATCAATCAAGTTTCACAGGTATGAGGATTCAATTTATTTCCGGTCATAGAAAATCCCAACTTTGATGACCCCTTATAATCTGCTGAACTCATCATCATCAGTTACCTAGCTCTTCGGGCACACTCTGCAAATTTCTGAACAGCAATGGCACATTTGAGAGGGTTCTCCTGATTTTCCCTGTAGCATTTTGTGCAAGCATCTCTTTCCTCCAAGCACGGGATTGGCTTGTTGTCGGGAAGTTTAAATTCCTTCTCATGGAGATCCTTCGCCCTTTGTGTTACTTCCTCTAACATGTTCTCCTCCTTCTTCTGCAACCTCTCCACCAGCTTTTCACTCTCTTGGACTGCACACCTGATAGCATCTAACTCTGCAATCAACGGCTGGTCAAGTGGAGGAAGTGGTAAGTACAATGGTGGCAGTGCAAGTGGCCATTTATTTGACTCTTCAGATACAGGCTTTTGATGTGCCTTTGACCAGGAAGTCTGTGAATCGTTTGATATCTTTGGTTTTGGCCGCTTTGATCTTTTCTTGAGGTTCTCACCATCATCAGAAAGTTTTTTAACTAAATCATTACTGATCTGAATGGTAAATGATTCGCTCATGATGCACACAGCCAAGCAGCCCTGAGGAATCACCTGAAATACCAATTCATCCTCAAGGGGTCAAATTGAAAGTATGCAAATAACAACAATAATAATAATAATAAAGTTTAATAGTGACTACAATCACTACATATAGATTATTGAGGTTTTTAATAATGGATTTTTACAAATCCAAGTACGATTAACATGAAAGTTTGAAACAGGGTATGATATGTAGTAGTTAATGCATGCATTCTACTAAATCCTAATTCTTTTTTGTTAATGATCACCCCCAGAGCCTCATTTTCTTTGATAAGCCACTCTGTTAGCCTTTTCTTTATTTGGCGTGACATTGAGATCAAAGAACGAGTGAAGAAATGAAGTGAAGAGATAAAGTGGAAAGAGATAACAATAAACCAATAAACTCCCCCCCCCCCCCCCCCCACCTTTTGCATTCTTCTCTCTTGTGCTAGATAAAAACAATGGAAAGCATTTTGCATTTTATTAATTTATTCTATTTTGATTTCATTAATGTCCTTTCTTTTTTTATCTAATATCACTTTTATGTAAGGGTATTTTGGTATGTCCCATATAATCAAAGTAGCGAGGCGCACTCAAGGCGCTAGGGCACCCCAGCACCTGAGAGGCACAGGCCACAAATAAAGAGATCATCTCACACTGGCACTGTAGAATATACTACATACAGTATTCTATAATTAATAAACATTATGTAGGCCTGTAGGTGACTTAATATTAAACTAAATGCATTAAAATTCATGTTTCACGAAAAAAAGTCATGATTCATCAAAACAAAGTCATGTTCAAACAACAATACCCCGCATTCAGAGTTCACCAGTTTGAGCTGAAAATTGAGTTTAATGGTCCAAGTTTTGTAGTCATTAGCATTAAATGTTAGTTTCAACCATTGGATCATTCGAAACAATATATTCTAAAGAGTCTAATTCCACTTTTTATGATGAAATAGTCCTAACCGTTAGATAAGTATTAGAAGTAAAAAAGTGTATTTATAGGGTTCATCATACAACAAATTTAAGATACAACGGTCGAAACTAAAATATAATATTAATGAGCGAGAAATATCGGATCATTAACTTTATTTTCGGTCTAAAATGAATACGGAATGACGGAAAATCCTGTCAGTCTGGACTGATGAGAACAGCACTCTATATATATATAAACTTGTAAACTAGAAAGCGCACAAAAGCGAAGAGATGGGGCTATTTTTAAATGCAAAAGAGGTAAGCGAAGCTCTGCTTTCTCACAAAACCAGTGTTTTCAAACAATTATAAAATTAAAATATACAATGCATAATTAAGCCAAAAACACATAACTAGTCACGCTCCCATGCAGGATCCTCACTCTTGAGTTGTGTTCCCAACATATTTCATCTACAAATAGATGTTTCACAAACTTATAATCTAACAAGTGTGCAAATATTTTAAATTGATTGTAGCTAGTAGCCCAGACTAATGCATAAACTATATTTCCAGTTAGGTTAACAGTATTCAAATAATTAGATTAATAGCAGAACAGTTTGAAGTAATAATGTATACTTTTTAGTAATAACACGATTAGAGAAAAACTTTAGCTAGTAGTGTAGAAATTAGAGTAATTTCTAGTAATAATTTTGAAAATAGACAAAAGCAGAGTACTTCAGCTTATAATAGACTACTCAGAACTTTACATTCCAACAATGAGTGTAAACAAAAAGGAAATGCAAAAACAGTTTACATACAATTCGAAAGCCAGCAAAATTGTAAACAATAAGTCTAACTCTGAAAATTCTGGACTGAAAAGTGGAGTTAACATAAGTTTAATCATGCCATCATGGACTAAACCATAGGGTGTTACTGATTATGTTTATACAAATAAAAATGTGAAACACTAGACTATTACTCCCTCTGTCCCCTTTTAAACGTCCCATTTTACCATATTGGGATGTCCCTATTTAATTGTCTCATACCTTATTTGGTAAAGTTTGTGTAGCTCAAAATCATTATTACTTTATTCTTACTTTATCAATTAATATCAACCACACAAACCCACTTTTCTTAAAACTCGTGCCACCCTCTTCCGGGACATTTAAAAGGGGACGGAGGGAGTATTGATTATTGGGTCAAAAAAGCATGGTTTACGTTTGAAGAAGTTTGAACCATGGTATGTAATTGCGCGATGCAAATACCCCCTTGAGGCACACCTCACCGATTTCCTGGATTAGGGCGTAAGATTTTTCATTGCATACTACAGGAGTCACGGCGTACGAGCTATTGCGCAGAGGCATACGCAATACAACTTTCACATTCCACATTACGGATTCAATTCAACTTGAGCAAATACTTATATTTAATGCTTCGATAGTTTTAATGTATCAAATATATGGATTACAATATACTACGTATATGTTATTCAATCATAAGTACTCTTTTAACTTGTGAATGTTGAACAATGTGTTAGTGAAGTGAAAAATAAATCATCAAAAGGAAATTGGATATGCATATCTATTACAGTATAATTTATGGTTCACATACTTCTCTGTAAGCATTTCATACAACTTGGCTTACGTAGTATTTGTTAAAAAAATACAAACTAGAAAGCCAAATAGTCACTCTTATGTTACTATTCATGAAAAAAATTAGACATGAGTAAATATACAATGTCTTATTATGAGTTATAAATCCTAAATAATTGGAAATACCATTTCATGTGATGTGCTTTTTAATAGTACAATCATAGTTTAACCTAAAGTGTACTAAAATTTGAGTTTTGCCGTCAATAAAGGTTGCATTGGTTGCAATATAGATATATAATACCAATATAATAAACAATGGGATTAAAATTCATTGACACGAGTCACAATCATATTATCAGTTTTTAACATTGAGTTTTGAGCTAATGAGTTTTCAATCATAATATAATGAGTTTTAAACAAAAATTTTCAGTCACATTATAATGAGTTTTCAATCATAATACTAAACAATAGAATGAATATGAGGATTTTATAATAAAAAATCAGTAATTAAATCTGGGATTAGCCAAGTAGGTCAAAAAAATCAACACAATCTGAAATTAAAATTTGAGTGTAGGACTAATTTACCTTGATGAATAGTGACGAAAATTGGGAGATTTATACGACGTGAAGGTGCGGCGGTGCAGCACGGTATCTGGTCGGCCGTAGGCTGTCAGAGACGGCGTCTTCTCGTTGGCTGGACGGCTGGTCGTGGTGCAGTGGCGTGCATACCTGCAGTTTCCTGGGATGCTGAACTGCTAAAGATTCGAAGGTCGCGCGAGTAGCTGATAAATTACTCCGTTTGGGCCTGATGGCCGCATACGCTACTAATGTTAGCGGACTTTTTCGAAACATGGGCCTCATTTTATTATGCTACCGAAAAACTTAAATATGGGCCTCTTGAATGTATCTTTCAAAACTGACGCATTAGAACTAGACATATTCAAAATGAGAGGACTTTTCATGTCCAGCCGGCCTCACGGGAACCGCCGTCCGGCTGAGGTCATTTCGGGCACTTAGTGATAGAATTTTTTGATAAATTTTTTTATCATGTTCGTCATGAAATCGAGTTTATCCATACCAAATTGCAGCTAAAAATTCAATCGGGAAGGCATTCAAATAATTTCTGGAAGTTAACTGGGCAGTTCGTACATATAAACTGCCCAGTTAACTTCACAAAATTATTTGAACGCCTTCCCGATCGAATTTGGAGCTGAAATTTGGTATGGATAAACTAGACTTCATGAAGAACATGTTCAAAAAAATTCATCAAAAACTTCCACCGGGAAGTGCCCGAAATTCCCTCGGCCGGACGGAGCATCCCGTCAGGCCGGCTGGACAAGAACGGGACTCTTCAAATTGATATCGGATTTGCAATTATATTCTAGATTAAAGGGTCAAATAGGCCATCGAACTAACTTAAAAAGTGTGATTCACCCTTTATATAAAAGGCTCTGTCTAGTCGTCGCCAACTGGGGTGGTTCCCGGTGGAATTTTTTGATGAATGTTTTTGAGCATCTTCTTTATTAAATCTAGTTTACTCATACCAAATCTTAGATAAAAATTCAACCGGGAAGATAGTCAAATGATTTTCTGAAATGTACTGCGCTTTTTAACTGCGCATTTATCTTCAAAAATTCATTTGACTCCCTTCCCGATTTAATTTTTATCTGAAATTTGGTATGAGTAAACTACACTTAATGAAGAAGATGCTCAAAAACTTTCATCAAAAAATTCTACCGGGAACCGCCCTAATTGGCGACGGCCGGACAGAGCCTCCTATATAAGGGGTGAATTGCACTTTTTAAGTTAGTTCGGGGGCCTATTTGACTCTTTAGCCTATAACCTATATTCTATAAACACAAACATGAATTGGAAAATTTATATGATAAAATATCTAATAGTAAAATTTTTGCTGATACAAAGTGATCTTGACTTTGTTGAACTAACCACTGCACATGCTCTCAAGAATCCTTCATATCCGAACTCTTGAGATATGTAAATTCAAATTGTATGTATGGATTATGCATCCCGTGGAACACGTAGGTAAAGAATCTAGTATTGTCTACATTAATAAAGTGTATATTGGTGATATAAAAGTCTTGGTGATCTCTTGTTCTTTTACACAATACAAATTTTTCACATCCTTTGATATGTACGCTTTTATAGTTTGCTTTGGGTTTGTTAGTTGCACGTTCTAGCGATTTCACGGTAGTACGGAGTAGTATTTATCGCCTTCGAGGCTTACGGTCATGTCATCCCCAAAGCCCAATGACCTTTCACAATATAGGGCAGTAGGGCACGTTTGGCAATCCAAATTTTTTTGAAAAGATCTAGTCTAAAGGCACCTACTTGCAGTGGTTTTTCATTTTTGGAGGATTCATACCGAACGCTAAGCCGATCCTCTATTTAGCAAACTTACAAAAACAACATTTTTAGTTTTTAAAACCACTAAACAAGTCAAATTCTCACTGGAATTTGACAGTGTGTTAGCTTGAGCCCATGCGTTCTCCGATTCGCTTCGATTCGATCAGCACTGGAATTGAAATGAACATGCACACTTTCTTGGAATTGTACTCCGAGGACTATACCCTTCGTAGTGTATATATTTTGCTCCAATCGGGCGAAGCTTCGAACTAATGGGTCGGGTCATGCCGCATTGATATTGAATAAAATGTTTTTTTTAATATACGGAGTAATTGTATTTCATTTTCAAATTTAATATTGAGTGTTCAATAAATTCTAGGGGTCTTACTTGGATATTACTAATTTTCAATCAATTACCTATAAAGTGACCATTTTTAAAATGGGGCAAAAAAGTGATCAAGAAGGTTATATATGTGCGATTAGAAAACATGATGTAACTACAAAAATTTTATGTCACTGCGTGCTTGTTTTTTTGTAACTACAGCCACCACTCATGTCACTACAACCACCGCCCATATCACTGTAGCCACCGCCTGTGTCACTACAACCACCTTCTGTGTCACTGTAGCCACCTCCCGTGTGGCTGTAGCCACCGCCCGTGTCACTGTAGTCACCGCCCGTGTCACTGTAGCCACTGCCCGTGTCACTGTAGCCACCGCCCGTGTCACTGTGTAGCCACCGCCCGTGTCACTGTAGCCACCGCCTGTGTCACTTTAGCCACCGCCCGTTTCACTTTAGCCACCACCCCCATCCCCTTCCCCTCCACCGCCGACACCACGGTTGACCCGTCCCGCATACACACCCGGAAAACACTACCTTTGACAGTTGGCACCTGAATCAAAACCACACCGGGACCGGACCCTCCCCAGCCCACCTCCCCGCCCCCACCGCCTCCTCCCCAAAAAAGAAGCACCCCTCCCAGCCCCTCCCCTGCCAACCAGACCCCTCCCCAGCCAACCAGCCTCCCAGCCCCCCTCTCCAACCCACCAGCCCCTCCCCAACTCACCAGTCCCCATCCCCAGCCAACCAGCCCCCCAGCCCCTCCCTTTCCACCCAGCCCCCCTCCCCAGCCAACCAACCCCCTCTCCAACCCATTAGCCCCCTTCCCAGCCAACCAACCCCCCAGCCTCTCCCAGCCCCTCTTCTGCCAAAGCCTCCATCCACAGCACCCTTCCTAGCGGCCAGCCAGCTCTTTAGCCGACCTATCCAACCCGAACCCCTTCTCCAAACGTCGTGACCTACCCTCTAGCCGTTCAGATCTAGCCGCGCCATCGCTCCCCTGCCATTTTGCCACTGCCATCGTCCGACGCAGATGGAACAAATAATGCCGCCACCACTTCTATTATTAAACCAGCAACTGTGACAACTAAGGCCACATGGATGAAGACGGAGGCGTTCTATTCTCATCCACCTCCCCAGACCCCATTGACCGTCGGAGCAAAGCAGCGAGGGACGAAGACCGTCGGAGAAGCTTGCGGCTGTGAGTTCGATGATGGACGAGAGATAAAGGAGACTGCGATGCTGCTCATGTAGTTCTCGATTGGGTGGATACAAGGATCGTTCGCGAGAGATGGAGGCTGCTCCTGTGCGATTGGGAGGGCAGCATGATTAGCGCAGATCTCAATTGGGGCAGATAAGATGTGGTCACTTTTTTGCAGGGAAAAATAATTAAAATATCCTAAACTTTGAAGGGGTGTGAAATAAATATCCCAAACTTTTGTATGTAATTTAAATACCCTAAACTTTATATAAAAAGTTATTTTAGCATCATGGTTGTATATTATTTTTTTTCAAAAATGTAGATTCATATTGCTAATTGCATAATTTAGAATAAAAAATTAAAAATGCACCAATTATATAGAGTGGGGGTAGTATTAGTTATTTTGCAATTGAAGTTTAGAATGTGAATTGTATCTTCAGGAATGCTAAAATATTTTAAATTATGAAATTAACACAAAAAATTAACATTTTTGAAAGAAATAATGCATGGCCATGGTGCTAAAGTAACTTTTTATATAATGTTTAGGATATTTAAATTACATATGCAAGTTTGGGGTGCTTACCTCACACCCCTTCAAAGTTTAGGGTATTTTAATTATTTTTCCCCGTTTTTGTAAAACTCAAATCCAGTCATATTTTTGTGAGATGAAAGTTGGGAGATAATATCTGTGCCATTGTTTCTAAATTGAAGTCTGGAACTTTAAAAAACATCTCTCTTCCAAATATGATCTGTAAAGTCTACTTTCCTAGATAAATGTAATTTTTTGTTTACTTATCTAGATTATTAATTTTTATTTATTTCAATTTGTATTTTGCGACTTTAAAGCGTTTTCAAAAATGTTTCTTGAATGTAAATTTTAATTAATAAAATAAATTTAATTATATGAAAGAAAAAATTACTTTCATAAGTTACAAATCAATTCGAAAGGGAAAAGTTATTACATTATGTACGTCCTAGAAATGTAACATATTCACCTAATAAATAGATTTTCATCTCAAATAGTTTTTGCTTTTTGAGTGAGATAATCTCAACAATACAATTTTAAACATAATAGAGCTTTAAAAAACAACCCAGAGTATAATATAAATAGTGATACCTTTAAGAATTGGAATTAGCTAGGATGGACAGAATGATAATTTATACGAAGTATTATACGGAGTACTAGATATAAAGCATATATTGCTGAAAAGTTAAATGCTAAATATGAACTAAAATTATAGATTTCAACTCAATTATAGGTTTATGTATTATCATAACGTGATATGTAATTGAAACTAAAATTTAGAAAGTTTGATTTTACTCCGCGTATTACTAAATTATTGTATCGAAGTTTCGGTTCGGTAACGGTACAATATCGATAAATTACCGTGCATGTATCTCAATACAACAAATTATGATAGACAAACAAAATATACAAAATCGGTGTTACTAGTGACATATTTAATCCATTATTAAAATACAAAACACAAATGGTAATCTATTGTTGTCATATTCAATATTAAACAATAACTATTATTAGTATATTTAAGCGTTTCAACATGTCACATATTAAAAAATAGCATATTCTCCTAAAATAACTTAAATAATGTAGATGTAATTAAATTAATAGTGATGTCTAACAAAAAATTAAACATTCAAGAAACATAGATAAAATCATTTGTCCCTAATATGATGTTGTACATTTAGTCATTTTTATAATTAAAAAAAAATTGAATAGAATATTCGGTTAAAGAGTTAATCATATTTTACAAAGTAATATGACTCGCTGATCCTGTAATGCACGTTACTGATCTAAAGATGGTCAAAACAGGCCTCTCATCACCCAACTCTATCACAAGAGTCTCACGCAACGAAAAA